AAATCAGTGGGAAGTCTTTCATTGTCTTTACTGGGCACAGGAACAAGAGCCTGGAAAGTGCCAGGGACAACTGCTATTACATGTGAATGAATCAGAAGCAAAGCAAGTATTGGACTAAGGAAAACCTGAGCCTAATGTTATAAAATAATAAGATATCCCATTAATTTACTTTGTTTTGCCATAGTGCTGCAGGCAAACAAACCAGATTAAAAACCTAAGGCCAGAATCTCAACTGAAGCATTAAAGAAGTAACAGCATCCAACAATCAGCTCTATATCTGAAACCCCGACAGAGCCTTTATATAACACAGCTCATTAGCATATAACTTTTTAAAATAATTAAAAGAACAGTTCACTAGAACTGTTAGTTGATATTCTATTGCTTTTAGGCATTTACTCAGACTTGCAAAATGAGCCTGAGTATTTACCAGTGAGGTCACTGATGTTGGCAGTAATGCTGAAAGGACTGCACTTGTCCAAAATTGACAAACTCAAGTGAATTTGTTGAATAAAATGCTGTGATGTATTTTACTACTCTTAGCACTGCCCTCTAAAGAGATAATACAAGTCTCCTTGGGACACAGTGGGGCTCCAGAGATAGATTAACTCACAGGAGGTCACAACAAGCAAGGAAATCCTCTGGTATTAAAAAAAAACCCCAAACATCACCAATATGGTAAATATCAACGCTCTGGTAAAGCATCTGATCTCATTAATTATTTAGTTAATATTCAACTAGTTTGTATCTTTCTCATGGTCTATTTTACATCTACAGTAGAAGCAATTTTCTATAGTAGAAGCAATTTTCACATTCACAGATTATAAAGTGAGAAAGAAACCCTGTTTAATGGGTTTGCTTTGTCCCTTTAAGTTTCTAACTATCATTTTAGAGACAAAAAAAACCCTATGTTAAAAAAAAATTAAAAATAAAACTGTACAGTGGAAAAACAATCTTAGTGCTTAGATAATATATAAAGGCAATTACATTATTATTTTAGGCAACTGTAAATTTCTGGATCTAATTTTTATTTTTATTTTCTTAACAAACTTAGTAAGTGGCATTTATAAAATAATAATGATACTGAAATATAGATGAATCATGCAAAGTATGTCATTCCAGGGAGCCAATGAAGTTGGTCACTGACAAATAATATTCTTTGCTGCTTTGCTTAAAAGAGGATTGTCATTCTAGGAAAAACTTTTAAATGTATGTCTTTTGCCTCATTTCCTAAAAAAATAAATAAATTGTTTTAAATAAGAGTTTGTTCTTTTCTAGCACATCTTTCTCTCCGTGTGTATGAGCCTGAATGAACACCAGCAGAATTAGCTACCTAATTTTGTAGAACACTAAACACTTTTGATCATTTGTGGTGCTCAGCATGCCACAGGATGGGGTTGCTTTATCTTACCACGGAGTCGGAAAGAATCAGCATGTTTTTCTTAAGAATAACGTGGACAGGAGCAAATGCCATAGCAGATAAATGACTTCTGAGCTCATATGATCTCTATATTTAAAATTAATACAAAAAGAAAGTCCTCATCAGTCATTTCTCTTTTACTTACAACTATGGGGAAATAATGATTGAAAAACAGGCAGCCAACAGCTGATAATAACATACCCAGTATGTCACACAGCCTTCCTATCTGCATGTTCTGTTGGAGAGCCAGATCAGGAATATGCTCACGGATGCATTGGGAATATCCTGGAAAACAAGTAAAGTCCCCCCCCAAAAAAACTGTATTCAGAAAACCCCTGGTACATATTTGCAAGAAATCAAACTTTTGGATTTTAAAAAGCTGTAACAGAAGTATTTCAAATCCCAAACATGGTATAGCACTAATTGCATCACCTTTATGAATTTACTTTCATTAGTGAACTGATGTAACTTCATGTTTTTATGTCATGAGATTTTAAATACGGACCTAAATGTTGCAGACCTAGAGAGCTTTATAATTTAAACACGTAGAATGGGTATTTTGAGTCTTTTATGTTGCTGGTTTTTTTAAATGCTGAAAAAAATGACACCATCATTAAGCAAGAATCCTGGTAAATTTTATCCTTCACACAGATAAAAGGCAACAAAACCACTTCATTAAAGAGATGTCTCAGTGATACCTGATCACTTTGTTGCAGAGGATGAATGAGTGGCAGCCTGTCTGAGCTTGGATTATCTATCTGGAGGTCAGATTGCATGCTCACACTCAAAAAGACTGCAGTAAATGACACGACCACTGTAACTATAGTCTCTAATCCTGTAATTTTACAATTCAGCTAATTCTAAATTAATCAGCAGGTACATACAAACACACACACAATGTAAGTTGCTAGTTGCAATAGCTCTGATTAAATCAAGTTAAGCCTAACATTCAGTATTTGCCATAAAATCTTGACTGATGCAGTAACAAGATCCTCCATCTATCTGCACATGACCAATCATCTGAAACTGAGGAAAAACTCAAGTTTAACTAAAAATCTGCTCAGTATTTCAGTGCTTTCATTCTGGAAGATACTAATAGTGGATCTTCCAGGCAAATACCAAGGACAATTGTTACAAGTAATCGTCATTCTAAAGTGCTGTGGGAATGACACTTTGCACACAGGAGAGCACAATATAATAAATACACAGAAATGGAATAAATACACAGAAATGGAAATCACCAGTGTGATTTCTTGTAAAACTTACACATGGTAGTTAGCACAATGGTACCAGGTACTTACAGAACTACATCAACGTAAAAGATACTGATTTTTCTGCCACTCTAATATTAACCTACAGTAATTTGAAAAAGCTTGCTCTGATTTCTTAAACTTTATAGTCTCCAGAAGCTTCAGTTTGTTCTCTGAGGTGGGGGCCAGTTTTAAGCCACTAATAATGCTGCCTAACAACTTCAAAACATTTAAGTGTCAAATGTAGAAAGCAGCTGATCTCCCTACACTAAACTGTCCTCTTGAAAACACATTTGTTTTTAAGAACTAAATCTGGGCAGAAAAATAACACACAAATATCACTTGGAAAAATCAGTAATTATTTGAAAGGAATAATAGTTAAAGTAGCAATGGAACAGAAGTTAAAACTCACACATTGCTATGGCTCTGCAGATACCCTACAGCACTGTACCAACTGCCACACAGACTTTTCTTAGTTACGTTAATAAAATATATTAATTCACAATATATTGGCTTCCATTGACATGACCCCATTGGATTTAAGAAGAGGAATATTCACTCCTTGTGAAGCCTTCACCTTCCAACAGACATCATGAACCATGTTAATCCTCACACCTGATACATTCTGAACGCTCTATACTGGTCATCTGACAACGCTCAGTAAAGGCAGAGCTTAATATCCCTTTCCTTGCAGTTTAAACAAAATTCAACCCAAAGGAATTACATATACTGTGATCACAGTCTACATGTTCTGGTACAACTATAACCTGTGCCATCATTTCTGTTTTGTTATGTACAGCTCGTTTATGTCTCACTAACATTTCCTGCTACAGCATTTAGTCTCAAACACATGAAACTTTTCAGATAAATTTGCATTTCACCAGAAGCCAAAGCTCCTATTTTGATTCAAAGAACCACTACTTTAGTTGATTTATACCTGAAATCTGGATAAGTTAAACTCCAAATGGTGTCTGGTGTCTTTTTATTGACAAAAAGCTGGCGGTAGCAGAGCACTTGAGGATGTGGTTGTTCATTCACACAAGGTGTCAGTGCATCATGGCACCTCACTGGCGGAGCTGGTCCATGGGAGAGCTGACCTTGCAAACAGCTCTGGTTTCTCAGTTCAGTGGCACTGAAAGGACACCGAGGGCCTTCCTCCTTCCTGAGTTTTATGGTAGTGTATGTGCAATGACTTCAGTGCAGCGCTCCCAATTCACACAGGGGTAAGTGTAGGGAGAGTTATACAAGTACTAAAACAAGGGGTGCATGAATTAATGGTAAATGGTTTGCTTTCACCTCCCTTTTCAACCTCAGCCATGACCTAATGTCCTTTAACTGCCATTTTCTTAATAAATTTTGCACATCTCGGTGTCTTTGCTCAACAAGGAATCCACAATGCTTTTCAAATTCACCTTTGAAAAAAGTGGTAGCAGTACAGAGCAAGTAACCATGGGGTGATGTCTGAAGGGGAAGAAGGAAAATTAGCTGTCTAAAACTTAGCCACCTTGGGTTTCCCAGTGTTTGGGACAGGTCTAATAAATAATACCTAACTTT